AAGAAATTTTTGTTCTTTTTTCTTTTATTGTAAGCAAGTATTCGAATAATAGAACAATTATTCTAACCTTTTAATTATTCGCTGACGTAAAGTTGCTTTACTTATTCATACAATTTAAAATTATCGTTTAAACGCAGTCATTATTCCATCGGTGTATTGGTAGTAACAAAAATGAAACCGATAAAAGCTCATACGCGTGGTATTATAGATGGCAGACCTTGGCCGATGAGAGACAAGCATTTTAGCCGTATCCATGATATTTCTACAATATGGGCGTTCGAGTAAAGAGGAAGGAAGAAAACGGAAAACGAATGAACGTTTAGTCAACGAACCACTTCGATGAAAGTTAAATTATGTCAGGATTCTCGCATACCTACAGATAATTGCTTTAAAGGAAGATCCTCTTTAGATTAAAATTTACATACGCGCAAAGAGAACATGCAAACCGGATTGTAACGAACACTGCCGACATTCTACTTAAGATAACAATGATTATCGTCGATTTATTTAGAAAACCGTCGATATGTGAGTTTAAGAAATCGTTAAGATCGATAAATTGTCGGTGCGTTATCGTGTCCTACCAATATTTGTTATTTGTCTAAACGATAAAACGATACTTAAAGCTTTCAGACGAAATAAAGGAAGAAAGAAAGAAGAATGAAAGAAAAATCGAAGTAAAGGACGAGTTACGTGAACGATTCACTAGTTTTTATCACAGATACTCTAATTTTACAAGCTCGGTCTTGTGGAAAGACATTAAAGATTCATTTCCTATACGATGGGCAGTGAGGCGAGCACACGTGCGTGCGTCGTCGTTATTCGTATTATTGAAATAAAATGTTACGCACACCGTTACGGTCGACCTAAATTAAATTTTCTTCGTAATTCTGACTAGCCTAGAAAAATAAGAAACTGCTTCCTTTCGTAAACGCTCGCAAGCATTCTGGAAACTTTCCGCGTTAGGCAATGCCGCGTTTCCACTGGTAAGAACGCGCCGTGGAAAACGGCGTGCAAAGGCGGCAATTACGACAGCGACTCTTTCGAGATTCGCTTAATCGCTGGGCCTTCGGGGCCTAGACCTAGTTATATTTCAATTATATCGGCCGCACGAGCCAGATTACATTTTCGCGAACGAACTTCGCGGGACACCAAATTAGCGTTGATTTTCGTAAATCATTGATCAATTAAAAGAGCTTCCTTCCTTCGACGAACAACAACTTGATACCGACTGACTACAAAGATACCGAATGGAACATTTTTGGAAAAAACACATGGAACAATAAAGAAGGATTTATCCTGCAAGTCGATGTATGGTTTATTATTCGTTGAAATAACTCATGCCTCGCGATCGCGATGTGGAAATACCAAATGAAAGTGAGAACAGTTATTCTACGATTGCTTTTGGAAGAGAAAACAGAGCGTTGATAGCAAAAAAAGAGACTCCGTTGTCCACATTTATTGCCTGTAATAAGGTTAAGTTCGAACGCAAGCGGGTTTGCATGGTGTCTCGTGTGTGTGTGTGTGTAAATGTGGATACGAATGGATACGAAAATGATCGAAGTTTCTCGAGAAGAACCGAAAATAACCGAGAGTAGACGAGTTGCCAACCACGCGCGCGTTCCCGCGAAAATGTTCTTTGACTCGGCGCCGTATTGGGTAAGGGAGCGGGAGGAGACTAGAAAGCTAGAAAATACCACTACAGTACTTTGTACATTGTAATATTTGATGCAAATTATGATCTCCAAAATGAATAAGTCGGAAATAGTCATTTGTCAAAGTTTTAACGGAAAGATCATTTAGACATCCGCATATATCGCGCTTGCATTAAAGAAAAAAAAAAAAAAAAAGAAAAAAAAAAGAGAAAAGAAGAAAAGAGAAAAAATAAGAGAAAAAAAGAATGACATTTTTCTGATCCGAGCAAAGCGTACTTTTATCTGTTATAATTGTGCAACACTTTTCGCGCCATCATTCGAAACTACTACCAACCACCCACATTTGCTACGTTCTTTTTTTCCTCCGCATTTTCGTAATATATATGACGTTACATTTATTTCATTACAGCATCACGACGAAGTTAGCCGATCGCGCATAAATCCGACCCTAATCTAGACGCCCTCATATTTATGTGCAACGCGAACGAAGTAAGCAAGATTTAAGAAAAGAGAAAGTTCGTTGAAACTCAACTAAAATCCAACTAAAATCCAACGCAAATATAGAGAAGGAAAATGAAAAGGAGTTGATATCGCGAAGAAAGAAGTAAAAGCGCGTTGATTAAAGAAGAAAAAGGAACGAACTTTCTCTCGGATGAAATAGAAGAACGGCCTAAAATCGAAACTCACCCTCAAGCTTCATGCCGACCTCGATACACTTTTGGAAGCGACAGTAGGGACACCGCTTCCTCTGCGTCTTGTCGATGTGACAGGATCTTTCGGCGACGCACGTATAGACTTTCTTGTTTTGGACGGTGCGTTTGAAGAAACCCTTGCAAGATTCACAGGTGAGTAATCCATAGTGATATCCTGAGACCTTATCGCCACAGACCGGGCAGAGTTCCTCGATAACGATGTCCTTGGTGTCAGGGAAATCGGAGGGACAGGGTAGCGAGCCAGTCACGATACCAACCCCGACCTGGCCCAAGCTAGGATGACAAAGAGTACCGGTGTGTACAGCAACATTGCCGCTAGTTGCTGAGGTTCCAGTTGTCGCGTTGCTAGCGGTAGGACCGGGTCCGGTACTACCAGGACCGTTGCCTCCGCCGGCATTGCCAGCAGAACTGGCGGTACTGGTGCTGTAACCTCCACCGGCTCCTCCACCGGCACCTCCACCGGCACTACCTTCGAGGACAGACGAGTTGCCGCCACTCGGCACGTTGTTGTTGTTGTTGTTGTTGTTACTGTTGTTGCTGCTGTTGTTGTTGTTGTTGTTGTTAGCGTTACTGTTATTGCTGCCATTGGTATTGCTGTTGCCGCCAGGTCCAGCTCCGTTGCTACTTCCAGCCCCTGTTGGCGAGAATAGACACGTGTATACCTTCTTGTTGCCGCAAGGCCCGCTCTCAAGGGCGGACGACGTGCCGCCACCGCCACCGCCACTACCGCCACCGTTACCGACCCCGACCCCGACCCCGATCGCGCCACCCCCGCTACCGCCACTCCCGTTCCCGTTCCCACCACCACCACCCCCTCCTCCTCCTCCTCCTCCTCCTCCTCCTCCTCCACCCCCTGTCGGCGAGAACAGACAGGTGTAAACCTTCTTGCTACTGCACGGTGAATTATTGCGTTTAAAAAAACCTTTGCAGGATTCGCAAGTGAGAAGACCATACTGATAGCCCGACATCTTGTCGCCGCACATCGGACACCTCTCCTCGAGGGCGGTCGCATAGAAGAAGGCCGATTCGAAACCCGAGATGCCACCACCTTGAGATTGCGCTTGATTGTGGCTCGATTGTAATTGTTGCGATTGCGATTGAGAATGGGACTGCGCCTGCTGTTGCTGCTGTTGCTGTTGCTGCTGATGTTGTTGGTGGTGGTGACACATAGCGGATGACGGGCTCTGGGCGCAATTTCCATACGGCGAAGAACTATATTGAGCCTGCGGCTGGGGTTGCTGCTGTTGTTGCTGCTGCTGTTGCGGTTGGCCAGCACTCGCCGCACTTTGAGGACTGCCCTGAGGACTTAGATGGAACGGTGACATATTCAGGGACATCAAACCCGAATGTTGCTCCATCTCCAATAACATATCACCCTTGCGCAAGGACCGCACGGAAGAACGTTTTCGCGTAGCGGCGCATATAGTAAGGTATACGAGGCGACCGTGATCTTTACGGAAAACGGTCAAAATTAAGGGGTGGTGGACGACGACGATGGTCGAAAACGTGTCGCTCTCGTGACCCTTTAAACAGGGTCGAGGGGGATTGATAACGACGGTAACGACAACAGGGTTGTAGATTGAAGGAAAAATACACCCAGCTTTTTTTATTTCTCTCTTTCTTTTTTTTTTTCCTTTTTTCTTTCTAAAGCGTATGATGACGAACGTACGGATGGTATTACCAATCACCGAGTCACGTTTTTTTTGCGCGGCACAGCTTCACTCAAAAAATCATCGGGCATCGTGAATTCCGTTCCGATAGAGGCCGAGCTACGTCCGAAACATCGCCGAGATTGTGGCACGATATAAGAACCACGAGTTAAAATCTTGACGGCTTTAGATTACACCAGGTAGCGTGTAGCAGCACAACGAAAGGGAGCACCAGAGCACTAACTCACTATAAAGGCTCTCCAATTTGAGGAACGGTACACCAAAAACAAACCACCACCACCACCGCTACCCACCAGCAGCACGTAGCACCACCGGGATATTGCCGTTTTAATATTTCTTTCCTTATCTTTTGCTCGTTTTTTTCTCGCTCTTTTTTACTTTTACGGTTTATTTCTCTCTTTCTATCTCTAAAAATTTGTTTTCTTTCTCCGTCTTCTCACTGCAATCCAATGGTTATCTCGTGCGAGAGACGCGCGCGTACCGAAAGAATAGGTAAGAAAGGGAGGTGGTGGTATCGCGCGCACGTGTGCGTTAAAAGAGAGAGAGAGAGAGAGAGAGAGAGAGAGAGGGAGAGAGAGAGAGAGAGTGTGAGAAAGAGAGTAAAAGCTCCCACCTTAGCGGAAACGTGATAGTAATGATGATTGTGTACTAATAGTAATAATAGTATTAACAGTTCTACAAGTGATAATAGTAATAATATTTTAAAAATAGTACTTTACGGCACTCGTTTCGGAAGAATAATATTTTTGCGCGACGTTAAAACGATACAAGAGAGAAGAGGCGTATATGTAAGAGTGTAGAAAAGGCGCGGTAGGCGAAAAAGAGGGAAGGAAGGAGTCGTGTACCGCACGCGCACGACTTGACAGCTCGGCTATCTGCGTGCGACTAGAGTTGTCTTCTCGCCTCGTTGCTTTCCCGAAGGGCCCGCGCCCCCTCCTCTACCATTGCCGCCGCCCTACCGTCGACGAACGGAGGTAGAGTAGGTAGAAGAGAGCCACGAGTAGAATCGAGAAAGACAGACAGACAGACAGACAGACAAACAGACAGACAGAGAGAGAGAGAGAAAGAGAGAAAGAGAGAGAGAGAGAGAAAGAAAGAGAGAGAGAGAGAGAGAAAGAGAGAGAACGCCTCAGCGCGGGGAGAGCGCCGGGCCGCACCACCGCACCGCACAGTGCCGGTATACGCGTCACGTATATCGTTGGCCAACGCGACAAGGAGCGGACACGATTATCGCGCTCGTAATGTCTTTCTCTCTCTCTCTCTCTCTCTCTCTCTCTCTCTCTCTCTCTCTCTCTCTCTCTCTCTTTCTCTCTCTCTTTATTTCTCTCCCTCTTTCTTTTCCTCTTTTTCTCTCTTTCTCTCTCTTACACTCTGTCTCTTTTGTAGCCACCGATAAAAGGAAAGGAGCCTCCTCGAATGAAACGTTTGGCGTGACACCAGGAGGACGCAGGAGATACGAAGGAAAGAAGAGGAGTACCTATTGAAGGTATTAGGAAAAACAACAGCACACACTAGGTACGCGCGCGCGCGCGATGGAATGGACGGATGACTCTACAGTAGTAACGGGTCGCGCACTATGTGTATGTCAGACTCCTTTGGCGTTTCGGTAGGTACAGAGAAGAGAACGCGCGCGTGTCCCTTTACCGACGAGCGGCACGGTGAGCGAATACGAGCGAGCGAGACGGAGAATGCATCGAGCTGAATAGACGGAGACAGAGAGAACAGAAAGAGAGAGAAAGAGAGAGAGAATCGACGGTGGGAGGTGAAGGAGGAGGGAGTAATGGCGAGAAGGAGAGAAGGGGAGGCACGTCGCGTCGTATATCCAACACAGCGCACGGCATAAGTGAAAGTGATTCAGCAGCAGCAGCGCATGCCACCGCGCGCGCGGCCAGGTGCCCGCCACCTCCACCTCCACCGGGACCCACCACCACGACGACAACCACCACCACCACCACCACCACCACCACCACTCAATCGTCGTCGCCGCCGCCGCCGCCGTGTTGGAATGGAGGTGCCTCAGTACATACTGGCCCGGTGCTGCTGCTGATGCTGCCAGTGGTGGGAGGAAACGAGGGAGGGCGAGACGACGGAGGGACGGTACTGCCGCGATCGAAGGGGGAGGACCGTCGCCGCCACCGCGCTCTGCCGTTCCTTAAGAGGGGATGACCTACTTACGGAACCAGGTCTATGTCGGCAGCAAAAGAATTGTCCACTCGCCGACCTACCGGTTTCGCTCTTGCCCCTTATCGCTCTGCGCCCTTCGCGTCTTTTTTCCTCTATCTTCTTTCACTTCTCGATATCTTCCGACACGTTCCAACAAACGCACGCACGCACATTGCCCGATAATTTATTTAAGAAGCTCTTTCGTCTATTTACTTTCTTGACATATCCTCCGCGTATTAAAAACTTAAAATGCGGGACTAACATCGACATCATTTTTCATAGAAGCCTCGAGGTAACGTGGCACGAAAGAGTGTGCAAGATAAAAAAAAAAAAAAAAAAAAGGAAAAAAAAGAAAAAAGAAATAAAAAGAAAAAAAAAGAAGAAAGAGAGAAAAAGATCAAGCAAGAAGTAAGCATAAAGATATATAGTAGGGAATGAGAAAAGCAAAAGCAAAGCATGTAGAGAAGCAAGGGACGAGTGTGTAAACGGGCTCGGAGCAAGCGCGTGGTAGGTTGCGAGACAACGGGCCGTGGCTGGGTCAACAGTAACGCCGTTGGCACTCCCCGACAGAGGCAGTGGCTCTCAGTGTGTGCGTATACTTGGTAGATGTACGAGGCAAAAGAGGTGGGGAGACCCACTGACCCAGTTCGCTGAGAACATGACGCAGCCGCGACTCGCTCCCTCTCGTTTCTTCTCTCCTCCTCCTCCTCCTCCTCCTCCTCCTCATTCCTCCAACCACCTCTATTCCCTCCCCTCAGACCCTCACCGCACTATATTCCCTCTCTGCGGCGCTCTCGCTCACGTACATGCCGGAGGCACACGCACGCCGTCACCGCCGCCCACCATCGCATCCGTCGCACACCAAGTCGTTGCGTCGCTATTTCTCTTTCTCTCTTTCTCTGGATACGCGTTTCTCGCTCCTTACAATTAGTGCTGCCATGGGCTCTCTTTCTTCACCCTTCTTTTTCTTTTATTCACCCTTTCAAAGACGTTTCTTACGATTCTAGCAATTTTTCTACTCCTTTCTCTCTCTCTCTCTCTCTCTCTCTCTCTCTCTCTCTCTCTCTCTCTCTCTCTCTCTCTCTTTATATCCCTAGATCGTCGTTCCTCACATGTCGCATAATGCTGCACGTAATGCACACATACTTGTCAACCATGAATGCACGCGCAAGTGCGTGTCGTCATCGTCTTTGCGTGTCCGAATGCTTGCTAGAATCATTTTCAAACGCAAAGAGGAGCCTCGAGTTTATCGAAGATAAAGATAGATATAGAGATTTTTTCTCTTTTTCTTTGTTTTT